CGGGGTCGGGGTCAGGGTCGGGGTCGGGGTCGGGTCGGGTCGGGAATATGTTTCAAATTTTCCGGAGAAAATTCCAACGGATATCGGTTGGAAATTCCGTTGGAAAAGTCCAACGGATATCGGTTGGAAATTCCGTTGGAAAATTCCAACGGATTGCGGTTGGAAATTCCGTTGGAATTTTCCAACCGAAATTGCGGTTGGAAATCCATTGGAAAATTCCAACGGATGCCGGTTGGAAATCCGTTGGAATTTTCCAACGGAAAAATTCGTTGAAATTCCGTTGAAAATTCCAACGGTTTTCCAACGGACACCGATTTCTAACGACGAAATTCCAACGGATTTATCCGTTGGAAACGTTAATTTCCAACGGAAATTTGGCCATTTCCAACGGATTTACCCGTTGGAAATGACCATTTTTTTTGTAGTGTTATTTCGGATTCGGTTATTTCAGGTTTGAAATCCAACCGGGTATATTGTTTTAATAAATTCGATTCGGTTCGGATATTTATCGGTCGGGTTCGGTTCGATTATTCGGGTTCGGTTATTTTGCCCATCCCTAGTGGACCACGACGTCTTAAATAGCTGTTAATTAAATAAACGCAAGTTGACGAATATTAAATAACTATAGCAATTTAAAAAAAATGGTATAATATAATATTATATCATATAATATATATATATATAATTCAAATATTCCATTCAACAACGACTCTTCAACATTCCAACTTATGCAATTATATCCTTAATAATAGACGATATTCTAATCTCATTTGAAAATCGTTACATTCATAGTTTACGTCTTTGGGTTCTATTGAGCACGTGCAGATATAAACATATACCCTTCCTTTCTTTTTTTTGCAGCTGATAGATCTATCTATCGTCGTCGGAAGACGGAAGCTGACGTCGTTGCTCGTAAGATCTTCTTGTTCCAACAGATATGGAACTTAACCCTACATCCTTCGAACTGCGTCACTTTGGTGTCTTTACGGACAAAAACAGTCGAGTTTATATATCTTAACATCTCAAATTAATTCATGTGTGGGTGTCAGATTATGTGTTTTAAAAATTCTATCACATATCTTTTTAAAGAACTATTATTATGATGGAATTCAGGCCATTATACACTGATATTTATTTTGTCCACATTATATATATACACACACATAAACACATTATATAAGGATATTTGAGTTTCTTTTTTTTTTCACAATTACCATGAGGGTTCGGAATTTAAACTCTGTACAGTGAATTAAAAGCGTAATTATTGATTTTAAAACAGTACACTTTTACTGGATTTCATTCAACAATATATACAACTCCCGAATATTTTAACTTCTGTACGTTATCACATTAATATTTTAATTAAGAGTACAATATATATATATATATATATATATAATATTTATTCTTTGACATCTATTACATTCATAATTTGTGATTTCAAAATTTAAGGGTGTTTGAATGGACCAAGAGCGTATGTCTCTTTCAAACTTATGATTGAACACGTGGTGATACATTATTCTTGGTGAATACGCATAAGTTGTAAACTGCTGAATCAATTTAGATGAGATCAATGTTTGATGTCACCGGAAGCATTCTTCTTGCAGATTTATCAACCTCGAATCAACAATTACCAGCGGGATTAAGTCTGAATTAAGAAAGTTTCACAAACTTTTTGTTGAATTACGAATTGACAAGCTTAACATGTGGAGCGGTTTCGGTTCGGCCAAATGGACAGCATGTGGAAGTGGATGTGTGACCTCCGGCCCGCATGAGTACTTCTTCTCGATCTCGTCTAAGCTTCATGGGGGGTTTCAGGTGCTTTGGCCATTCGAGAGCTCCCTCCAAAGAAGTTTTGCTGGCATGGATTCGTTCTGGGGAAAACAGCCGAAGCCGGTTTTGGGAATGAGATGTACAAGATCTTAACTTATGCGGCATTGAGCATAATGTTGAACCGATCCTTGATCATTGGCCAGACCAGGCATATTGGTTCTTTCTCTATCCTTTTTCTTGTCTTTCTGTTATGTTTCTAGTTTCTCCTCCTGATGTCCTGTCTGTGAATTTCTCAGGGGAAAGTATCCGTTTGGTGATTACATTGCTTACTCCAATGCCACCTTTACCATGAGTGAAGTGAAGCATCTCTGGAGACAAAAAGGCTGTCTGAAGAAATACGGAAGGCGGCTTGTCGTGAGAATGGATGATTTCGAGAAGCCGTCCAAGAGTAACGTCTTATGCAGCAACTGGATGAAGTGGAAGCAACCTGTTATATGGTCAGTGACTGAGTAGTCTGAGTGAGAAAGACAAGACAAAGTTCTGTTTTTTTCCATTACTCTGATTCATTGGTGTGTGTTTTTTCCCGATATTTTCTTCAGCGTAAATGTACTTACTGGTAATTGTTGATTCGAGGTTGATAAATCTGCAAGAAGAATGCTTCCGGTGACATCAAACATTGATCTCATCTAAATTGATTCAGCAGTTTAAACGCGGGATTAAGTCTGAATTAAGAAAGTTTCACAAACTTTTTGTTGAATTACGAATTGACAAGCTTATGTTCATGGGGGGTTTCAGGTGCTTTGGCCATTCGAGAGCTCCCTCCAAAGAAGTTTTGCTGGCATGGATTCGTTCTGGGGAAAACAGCCGAAGCCGGTTTTGGGAATGAGATGTACAAGATCTTAACTTATGCGGCATTGAGCATAATGTTGAACCGATCCTTGATCATTGGCCAGACCAGGCATATTGGTTCTTTCTCTATCCTTTTTCTTGTCTTTCTGTTATGTTTCTAGTTTCTCCTCCTGATGTCCTGTCTGTGAATTTCTCAGGGGAAAGTATCCGTTTGGTGATTACATTGCTTACTCCAATGCCACCTTTACCATGAGTGAAGTGAAGCATCTCTGGAGACAAAAAGGCTGTCTGAAGAAATACGGAAGGCGGCTTGTCGTGAGAATGGATGATTTCGAGAAGCCGTCCAAGAGTAACGTCTTATGCAGCAACTGGATGAAGTGGAAGCAACCTGTTATATGGTCAGTGACTGAGTGAGAAAGACAAGACAAAGTTCTGTTTTTTTCCATTACTCTGATTCATTGGTGTGTGTTTTTTCCCGATATTTCAGGTTTCAAGGTACAACCGACGCAGTGGCGGCTCAGTTTTTCCTGAAGAATGTGCATAAAGAGATGAGGGTTGCAGCCTTTGAGCTATTCGGAGAATCGGGAAAACTTGAAACGAGGGCTAATGTGTTTGGTGAGCTGATGATGGCACTCATATCTCCGACGGAAGATGTTAATGAAGCAGTGAATTGGGTTCTACGAGAAACCGGGGATCCTGATGTTTCATTGCACATGAGAATGCTTAATAACAGGTTCCGACATTCTTTGAACGCATCAATGGCCCATCTTTTTTCAATCGGATGACTAAATCTTTTTCTTTTCCGAGGTTTTTCTTCCAGACCGGTTAGAGCTTTAAGGGCAGCGATGAGATGCCTTGGCAAAGCAATCCGCCGTTCGGGTGTGTCAAACCCTAGAGTGGCTATAGTATCAGATACTCCATCAGTTGTGAATGCCATTGATCCCAATATACGATCGTTTAATGCATTTGACGATCCACACAAATGCAACCAAAACGTTTTTTTTTATAACGGAGGACCCCTAACTGCTACCATTTGGACGCGCTGATTAGGTAAACCTTCGGTCCGGGATCAGTCTTTGTATATGAATCATATAAATCCAGAAATTACCTCCCTCTTTACCAGTCAGGAATCGAATACTCAATCTCAAGGTGAAGTTATCTCCTACCTCAAGCTTGACCACTCGCCCACAATCTGTTAGGTGCGTCCAAAACGTTGGTGAATACGTACGCATAATTTGTAGTTTATAATATATAACGACTTACAATTTTTTTTGGTTGATATAACGACTTACAATTGTTTCATGATATATATATATTCTTTTGAAGTCGATAATATACTACACAATACGTGATCAAATAAAAAATAAAATAAAATTTGAAAAAATATTTGGATTATCGTGAAGCGAACTCAAACGGAGCGCACGTGGGGGGTTTGTTACGTAATAGGCTTTTGTTTCCTTTAAAAGAATGATTGAAATTTCTACGGTCAAGAGTCCAACACGACCAGATTTGGTCAACTAAGGTACGTCTGCTGACGTGTCATATCCCTCCTCCCTTGTAAAGTGTGCCATTCCCTTGCCGTTTTTTCGTAAGAAATTTTGGTTTAATGACAAATCGCCGCATAATTGGTAATTTTAAAAAATAATGAATTTGTATCTCTATTGCAAGCATTGAAAAGATTATATATGTGTATATATAGAGAGATAAATGAAATACATGGATGGTTCATGAATCGTGATGATGGTGATGCTAACAAAAAAACCCACCCTATTAACTAGCCAAATAAAAAGGTAAGATCCAATTAGATCTTCATGATGAGTGGATGTCGATCTTTAGAACCAAAAGGGTTACATATATAGTAATAAATTATAAAATGAAAATAATATATATTAAACGATTATTTTAATAAAATTGGAAAAAGAAAAAGTTTTGAGTGACTAACCACCCTTCCTCGAAGGGACGTTTGAATGCAAGTGGACAAATGTGGGAGACCCACCTTAAATATCTTTTGAAGGGTCACCGAATTTAAAAATGGGAAAATGAATGATGAAGGAAAAACGGCATACTTATCCATATAAATCCAAATTTGGGTAGGCAAAAAATAATAATAACATATGTAAATTGACCTAAGATTTCGAATCGAAACCTGTATAAAAATTTAAAGTTGATTTTTGATTCATTGTTATCAGAATGCAATTTAGACGCGCACTTTCATATGAGACACATGATTCATTATGTGAATACATATCATGTTTAATAATAAAAAAAATGAGTGAAAAATCATTTATTTTTTCATTATTCAGTATAGAATCTTACAATATTTATAGATAAAAATATAATTAGAAAAGATTTTATTTAATTAATATAAATACCTAAAATATAAAAATAAATTCAAAATCTCATATTATAATAACATTTAGAAAAAAACTAGCGTTCCAGGTTTAATAAACTAACCTATTAAATTAGTTGAGATATCGCTTAATTAAACCGGCGCTTGGAACCAAACGACAAAGGAAAAGACACGAGAAGACAACTTGAGAGAGAGAGAGAGAGAGACCGACCAATCGACATCTTGCTTTCATAAGTTGCCTTACGTCATCCCGAGCCTCAGCTCAACCTCTGTGGATAAAAGCACGTGTTTGAATTCACGAACCTTCAATGCAATGAGAAATCGGCAACATTCATATTTTTTTCGCTTTTTTAATTACCACTACACATTAAAATATCATTTTCTTAAATTTTTTTATTTTCCAGGTTCATGCACCTCGTGGCCCATCTTCCCTATATATTAGCCTCTTTCCCGTCTCCTCAGAAAAAAAAACAGATCTTTAATATTTCAGCAGCAAAAAATCTAGGCAATCAAGGTATATATTTTTGTTTTCTTAAGCAGATAAGTGCCAGATGTACGGACAGAGCGAGACCACGGCGGAATCCGATTACGCTTTGCTCGAGTCAATCCGACGACACTTGCTGGATGACTCGGAGGTCCGACTCAGCGAGTCGCTGGCGAGTTCGGCTGCGATTAAAGGTACAAGCGGCCGCAGCGTCGTCAGACCCGTGTATGGACGGACTTCGAGCTTCAGCAAGTTGCACCCTTGTTTTACGGAGAGATGGGGAGATTTGCCACTGAAAGAGAACGATTCCGAGGACATGTTAGTGTACGGAATCCTCAGGGACGCCTTCCACGGCGGCTGGGACCCATTGCCGGAAGATCGGAACTTGCTCGATTATTTTCCGGCGGTCAAAATCGAGCCATCGGAGAATCTCTCGTCAACGGCGCCGATACCGGTGTCGGGGAAGCAGAATCCGGTTCCGGCGGCGGCGCCGTCGAAGGGGAAGCACTACAGGGGGGTTAGGCAACGGCCGTGGGGGAAATTCGCCGCGGAGATTAGGGATCCGGCGAAAAACGGGGCTAGGGTTTGGCTGGGGACGTTCGAGACGGCGGAGGACGCGGCGTTGGCGTACGACCGAGCCGCCTTCCGGATGCGAGGTTCCCGTGCCTTGTTGAATTTTCCGTTGAGAGTGAATTCTGGCGAACCCGACCCGGTTCGGATCACGTCGAAGAGATCGTCTTCGTCATCATCGTTGGAAAACGGATCTCCGAAGCGGCGGAGGAAGGCGGAGATCTCGCCGGAGAGGGGAGATAAGGCGGGTCAGGTTAAGTGTGAGGTGGATCCATGCACACGTGGCGGACAATTATTGGTTTCCTAGTGGAGAGAGGCCCATAAAAAAAACAAAACGAGAAAAGTTTTTTGTGAATATTTGGATTTATTTGTTAATTATCTTTTAGTAATGCGGTCTGGTTGTCTCTCGCCTTCTTGCCAAGTTGACACCACACCACCACTACAAAGATAAAAATAAAATTGAAAACGCCAACCTTTGCGATTGAGGACACCTCCGTTATTAACGGTCCAAATATCTATGATATTTAATGACTATCGTAAAAATCTTTTAACAAAATGCCATATTTACTTTTTATATATTTTGGAAATTAAGTTAATTTTCTGGAACCACATAAGTTTTGAATCCAGAACGTTCTTTTGGGATGGAAAAGGATTTTCAGTGGCTATTATGTATTCCCACCGTTTTATAATAAATTTCGTTTTAGAAAAAAAATATTGTTAAATAGTTATCATTTTAGATTTTTAGATAATTTTTAAATAAAATTCCCAAATTTATTTTTAATTAAAAAAAATTAATATTAATAAAATATTAATGAAAGTATGGGTTAACATGATATATATGACTTTTAACACATTTTCTTAAAATTTGATAAAACCTAAAACGATATTTATTTAGAAACGGAAATAAGATATTTTTCCGGTATTACGCAGACGTTTAAATTGTAGAACACAAAGTCATGGAATTGAATCAATATATACTTCCAAACATATAAATTCATGTATAAAGTATAATGAAAGAAATTCAAAACGACAATAATTCAGTTGATCAAAAATATATTCCGACAAAAAATAAGTTTAAAGTCCAAGTCTACTGAGTAATATGTGAAATCACGAATCCATGTCGGATCAAACATTAGCAAAAAATATATATATATGAAAGGATTATCGACAATTTTCTTTTTTTTGGTAACGGAGGGAACCACCACGATTCTTTGGGTACGGAATAAACCAATCGATCTCATATAATAACCTGCAAATCACGTGAAACAGATAAATCAATCGAAAACTGATAGATTCAGAAGAAATTCATGCTCTAGAGGGTTGAACCCATGACCTCCCTTTAGAAGGCATGAACTCTCAACCAACAGAGTTGGGGTTTTCCTTATCGACAAAATTTTTCCGACTGGTAAGTGTGGTTATTGTATCATCGTGAGTTGTAGAAATATTTTGATTCGTAATAATTGATTATCATTAAATTGTTATAATAGATTACTAAGAGTATGATATATACACTTTTTGTTTCTAAATAGATGTCATCATATACAATATTTTTTGTTATTAATTAGATGACGTTTTAGATTTTGCAGATGATTTTTTTTTAAAAAAAAAACTAATTTTACAATCAATTTAAAATATATAATTTTGATAAAATTTAATGAGAATGTAATTTAATAGGAGTATTATTTTAGAAACGGAGGGGAGGGGGGTATAAATGATCATGATGATGTGTCATGTTGTTGACGAAGACGAATTAAAGAAGAGCAGTTCAATATGTACAGTAAAAACGTATTATATATATAATTATATATATTAACGTTCTGTCTTTTTCAATTTTTTTTGGCGTCTCGCTTTAATTATCAGAAGCTCGTGCATTGACTTTTGCCCTCCATGACCTTCACCTATGTCCTACATCATTCGTCCATTTTATAATTTTGTAGGCCCTTCATTATATCATATGATATTTATGCAGCACAAAAATACCAGAAACGGATTTATCCAAAAAAAAAAATGTCAGAAACGACCCAAATTTGGATAGTTAAACCGGTGAAACAAGAACACAAAACGTATATTATATCCCGAATTCGAACTTCAAATCTGAGGAGTAAACGTATAATTCAAATCACATGATTGGTGTTCGATGCCGGGATTAATATGGGTCTCGGTCCAAGATAACGGTTACCAAAAAAAAAAATTATCAGAAACGACATGAACATAACTTCAAACTTAAACTTGTCAATCTTATTAAATTGATCGGCCGGACCAACCATAACATGGAAAATATGGAAACATATATAAACAAATCAACCATGAGGGCATGATCCACCGGGACCTCCATAAGTGAAGGATGGACCGACGCTCCTATAATTCAATTGGAAACACTTTTGATCTTTGGCGTTTACGTTCATATTTTCGCCGTTAACGGGAGCGTTATTAAAATCAGAACCAACCAATTGAATAGAAGAGAAATAAGCTGATTTGCTAAGATCGTCGGTAGGAAACCGACCATTACCCATCGGAGCACCGAATCCATCACCGGAATCCGATGAGATCGCACCGTACCGTACGAAGTTCGCTCCTTTTTGCAAGTGTGTGAATAACTCCTTCGGAAAATATCCCACGGAGGCACCTCTGTTCGCCACCCACCAATGTCCTGTCGTACGGTCCTAATTCCCCACACAACGTAATTTTAATTAAGCATGACATTTTTCGATAGATTTTTTTAATAATAGAATGAAATGAGACAGTAAATTTAAAAATGAGGGGCGGTGATATATATAAATTACATTTCGATTGAAAATATTTCGATAGATGACCGTTGAAACCAAAAGAATGTTAGAAATTTTCAACAATCAAAAGTCTTAAAAGTCATCAATTGATAAATTAAAAGGTTAGAATCCTCCAACGGTCGATGATTTCGGACTATCCAAAATATTTCAACGGACATCCGTTGATATTGATTTCTAATGATAATCTTTTGATATTTTTAACTTATGTTATCCATTGAAATTTCCTTAAAAATTTCAACTGATAATTTCGTTTCAAAATCTGTTGAAATACAGTAGAATATCTATTAAAAATATTTCATCGGACTATCCTCCAGAAATTTATAAATATCCACTGGAAAACCGATGTTTTTTTGCGGTGTAAACACCATAGAAATTGTATAACGTTAACTTGCATATCTATATCTATGTATGTATGGAAGGGATTGAACCTGCGTGAGGGAAAGGTTGGCGACAACTTGGTTTCCGCCATAAGTGGAGACAGGATCATAAGCCTTGCCCGGATACAAATCCGAAAAGTCTTGAACAAACCCCGTGCATATTGTGTTATAGCACCCTGTCTTTCCATAACCATCTCCCTATACCAAAAAAAAAATAATAATTCAATTTAACATCCGTTTTTTTATTATTGATATCACTGTTAACTAAGAGCTTCAAACACATTAAACGAGAGCGTCATTTACCGTCCAATATATGGTGAATCTCGACATAGTGTCCCCATATAACTCGGGATGTATCTATAACATACATTTAAAAAAAAAAAGAGATTAATGTTTATTCTAAATAAGTGAAGAAAATGATAAAAAAAAAAAAAACTTACTGCCCATCCAAATTGAATGCTGTTGAGTTCTTGGGGAGGACCGTTCTCCACCCAAATCTGGGATTTCGTGTATTTGCCCTTGAACGGCATATTATTCACGCTCAGAGAGGCGCTCGCCCCGTGGTATATACTCCCGTCGATTTTGGTGTCCAGTGTCGCCATCTAAAGTAGTGGGGCCAAATTCATATATCGGAAAAGATATAGGAAGTTTTTTTAATTAAGGAAGAGTTGCGTGTGAGAAGCTTTTACGAAATCGGACGGAGACGCGGGGGAGGACAAAGGACGAACGCCGGTTCTGGTTTTGTGGATCGGCACCATCCCTTCTGGACATACTTTAGATCTCGTCGTTGATTTTGTCTGCCGAATTAAAAATGTTTTTAATCAACTTTAGAAATTGTTTAAGATGTGACATATACAACAAATTAATGTTACCATCGATCCATTTTGTAATTAAAAAAAAAGAAAGTAAATACCTGAATCTTGTGATCTTTGAGTAGAGGATGCCGCAAGGAGGGCTGTTTGTATATGTCCACACACTCGAAGGGATGATCATCTTTTGCCTATGTATGTTGTATATATATATATATACACACACACACACAGCCCTCAATACATACATTAAAAATATTTTAAATGTTCATAATTCCTACAAAAATTATATAGTGTCTGCCCACTTCTATAGTATTGATGCCTTGAGAGAGAGAGAGAGAGATTCAAAATGAAATGACAGTAAAAAAACACAACATTAAGACAAAAAAATTAACCAAAAAAATATATATATGGAATTAATTGAGCAATTATTGTACAGAAAAAAAGAAATTCCATACGTGGTGAGATCTTGCGGTGGAGCAGAACACTAAAAGAGACAAGACCGCCAACATCTGCAAAGCCATGGAGACTGTTGTTCTTCGCGTATGATCTGAAAGGCCAAAAATATTTCTTTATAATATTACGAAATTCATACAAATATTAAGGATTTTTATAATAATTAGCTGTGTGGATTTTGCATGGAGCTTTGAAGGTAAAAATATTCTCCCCGTCTTGGAAAGAATGGACCAAAATTCCCAATAATAGGAATGGGATTTATACAGAGAATAACTTTGTAATCCGAACATTGATAGAGAAAATCTCAATTCAAATAAATACTTGATTTTATTTCTCCTTTAGAAAATCCCTCTATTTAGTATTTATTGCATTTTTTGTTACCTGTTTCTTCCGTACATCATCATTCATCCCATCTAACCCAGAGATCAAAAGCAGGAAAGGGTTCAAACTTCACATTTGTTATTGGTTCCACCATCCCTATTCCCTAACACAAAAAACACGTGCGGTCCTTTCCTAGTTTTAACATCAACGACCAAACAAAAAAAAAAAAAAGCAAAACCAAAGTCTTGTGATAAAAAAAAGGAAGCTCCATGTGAACTCTTCTTCCAAACAGTAAACACTGAAAAATCTCTCAGGCGTTGGTGGTCTTCTTGGAGATGGCCATCACGTTGAAGTTGAGAGAATCAGGGTTCTTCTCTATCATGCTCCTTATCACTTTAGCCGCATCCTGTGTTATTCGACACAACCGTGGTGATTCATCGTTATCCCGAGCAAACGGGTCGGTCAAAGCATGAGTCTTTCGTTAAAAGAGTTTTATGTCAAAATACCTGCAGCAGGGAGGATGGAGAGGATGCGCCGTGCGAAATCGGTCCTGACTTTCTCCCATCGAGTTCATACAGTTCACCTGCATTTGATAATGAGCTAAAACTGTAAACAAGAGAGAAATGCAAACAATTCTATAGAAAATGCCACTCTGAATAATGCATTTTCTCATCTCATATTCGGTGCAATGAAAGTGGATGCAGAAGAAGATGTACCATCTACACATGTGAAGCAGATGAAGTGAGTGTCGACGTTATCTGAAGCCTGTTTCAACAGCATTGACGGGGTAAATGGATGAACATCTAATGGATAAGAAGAAATGAAGGGCAAAATTTATATCGCATGGTTACCTGCGTATCACCAGCTGTGGCAGCTACAGAGTGAGCATCTTCCATTTGTCTGTCATTCTCAAGAAACTTTGCACGCTACAATATCGATAACAGAAAACGGTAAGAATGAATAACCATGAAGATAGAGAAGCAAACAACAAAGAGAAGCAAACCTCCAAAGGGTTCATGGTTGCAGTGGATTTGAAGAACTTATCCAAGAAAGATCCATCGGCTGAGAGCAAGGGAAAGGAGATGATCATCATATATCATTTCATAGACAAAGAAGCATATAAAAACTTGAGCAACTAGATGCAGACTAACAGAGCTTGATTTCGGAGGTTATATTCCCAACAGCATGAAGAAGTCCGATCGTTCCACAAGCATTTCCCACAGTTTGCTTCATGAAGTAAACTCTATCACTATGCACCTATTCATCAGAGACAGAACAGTAAGACTAAACCGATCATAAACTGAAAGACAATGTAGTCGGACCAATCAGATGATCAGAACTCACCCTTTCCTTGATTTCCTTGTCCTGTTGGATTCTCTCTTCTTCACTCTGGGGGGAAATCACGTGTTTCAAATCAATATAAGCACAGAGCAGACAAATTTAGAATCAACACGAGTACCCAGTTACACTTTTTTTAGAATCTGGGTCTGAAAGAACGTACCTTCTGGGTGATGGGGTAGAGGAAGAGAACAGCAAGAATAGGCTTGGGGACAATTTCGAGAAGTTCTTCGTCCAAGCCAAACACATCATTGCATTCCGCTTCGTCTGGTGGAAGACCGAGACCCCATAGAAACTGCAAAACAACCATTTGAGAACCAAATAGGCGAAATTCCGTCCCACTCCTCAAGACGATTTCCATGATCGGAGCCCAGAATCGACAACTTTTTTCGAAATCGAAAGGGAAAGCGAGCAATCAGTAGAGAATCCAATACCTGATTCATGACATCTGGGTTTGCTTCAAGAGGAAGCCATCTCTTAGCGGAAGGACTCTCGTCTACGGTCGCCATCTTCGGATCTTTCGCGTCTCTCTTGATCGGTTACCAGCTGGGTAGAACAATGAGATTCACCCGCCGCCTGGGGATTTTAAGCGACGAATTCTTCGGCTCCTCCAAAGCGAAGCCCATTAAATTGATTAATGGGCTTTCATTAACTGAAGGCCCAACGTCAATTTTCAGGCCCAACTTATTCCCATCGCCTCATCGAACGGTCGGAGGGAGAAGCGCGGTACCGTCTATGGTACAAACGTCCGCAGCGTATAAAAGCTCTCGCGAGGGGTACGCTTAAATTGCGAAGGTCGCGTAATCTTGATATTTGTCTGCCGCATCGTCTACGCTCATTTGCAGGCTCTTCACGAGCTCTCTCGTTCGCACACAAACAGACAATGAATCTGTTCCCGAGGATCCGCCGCAGCTCGCGGTGGCTCTCCCGAAGAGGGCTGAGAGGACGGAGAAAGCGGCCGGGGATCAGACTGCTAAGGCCTCTAAGATGCCGACCAAGCCACTTCCTCCTGCTCAAGCTGGTAAGGTTTTTCTCTGGTTTGATTGTTCAGTTCTTTTTGTCATGTGTTGATAATGGTACAGCTTCTCGGTTGTTTTTGCTGAAATATCTAATAGTATTATTCAAGCTTGCTGATTGTCGGAACTGGAATGAAGTAAAAACCTTTTGTTTTTTGCTAAGCTTGTAAGCTTTTCGTCGTTTCTTTTCTGTGTATTGGGCCATGGAAATGGAAAGGAGTACTGTTTGTGTTGAATTAGTCTCTGCTTTTGGGCATTTTGGCCGTACTTTCGTCTGCTGCTTTCTCTGGACATAAAGATTCTTACTTTAGAGTTTGTATTGAATTTTACTCATCAATATCTGTGAAAGTTCATTATGTTCATGTGTTTGATGACTTGAGAGAGGCAGAGAATCCTCAGGGAGGAGGTCGTGGTCGTGGTGGACGTGGCTACAGTCGTGGTAGAGGCTTTGGGTTTAACAGAGATACCCGAAACAACGATTCCTCTGGCAATGAGAATGGGATATGCTGGAGGGTGCAGGCACTCTGAAGATGGGGAAAGGTCTGAAAGGCGTGGAACTGTCGGTGGATTCCGTGGTCGTGGAGGTCGCCATGGGAGCTTCAGCAATGGAGATCCCGGAGATTGGCGAACACCCACGAAGGATATATGAGCGTCACAGTGGTACAGGGCATGAGTACGCATCCATCCTTTCAGTTTATATATCATTTTGATACCCATTTGATTTGCAATTGTTGTGACCGTTACCGTTTTTCGCGTCATTCTGCTAGAAATGAGTTTAAACGCGATGGTTCAGGTCGTGGAAATCAGGGAACGTCGTGAGGATGAGATTGCGCCGTAAGCATTCTGATCTATACATAGTATAAATGGCTTCTGCAGATCACATTTCTTATTGTCAAACTTCGGTAAGATTATATGATTCATCTGAATTGTAGGGCAACTGAGGAAGCCGCTGTTGAGGATGATGTAAACAAAGAGACTGCTGTTGACAAAAAGAGTATTATTATGGTGATGAAAAAGAATAAACAAGAATGAAATGATATCTTACTGTTGGGTCAAGTAGAAGGGAAGGAACCATACGATGTTCCAACCAAAACAGTCAAAAGATGTTTTGTTACATTCAGCAAACGGAATGGAGAGAGAGAGGAGAGGGCAGACTGAGGGCGAAGAAGCTTTTCAAGAGGAACAGCAACCAGATTGATTGTTCACTGGCTGTCCCCTTATCTGCACCGTCGGTGGCTTCACGTTCCCTCCCGGTTGCTTCGCCATCCTGCATTTCACCCCCCCATCTCACATTTTACACTCTATATACATATATATACATCCCGACCAAACATAATTCACAAGGGTAAACTAAGGGGTAAGTAGTAATTAGCTGACAGTACCTGGTCTTGATGGCAGCAGTCATAGCCATGAAAGCCTCCTCAACGTTTGTTGCATTCTTTGCACTCGTTTCCAAGAAGGGGATACCTAGTTCATCCGCAAAAGCCTGTCCCCATCGAACTTGTTTCATCAGAAAGCATGTAATGGATGCAGTTACTACACTATAGATGAATGAATGCAAATCAGATTCTGTTCCTAACTTTTGTCTATAAAATTATAACATGCAAACCACTCTCCGGAACCTAACACTAGTATGAGGTTGGAACTGGTGTTTCTAATAGATGTTATTTATGATACCTTAGCCGTCTCGGTAGATACAACTTTCTGTGAAGTTAGATCGCACTTGTTCCCAACCAGTAGCTTATTCACATTCTCACTAGCGTATCGGTCGATTTCATTTAGCCATTGTTTGACGTTGTTAAAGCTCTCCTGGTCTGTGACATCATAAACAACCTGCCGATAACATAAAGACCTCTTATAATATAATCCAACACAAGGTTTGGACCTCGGGACAGATGTACGAAAGTGGTAAACTGATAGTGAACATACGATGATCCCGTGAGCTCCACGGTAGTAGCTACTAGTGATTGTCCTGAAACGTTCTTGGCCTGCTGTATCCCACTGCACATATGGCGATAACAAAAAATGGAGGTGAGAAAATGTCCATCCGAATTCGAAGTTTTAGGGTTGCGGATCTCGCTCAAGAACACTTCTTACGATCTGGAGTTTGATGGTCTTTCCATCCTGTTCAACCGTGCGGATTTTCTGCATCACGTCATTAGAGAAATCAATATCCTTGCTTTTGCATTTCAAGCGTACGAACAAGTAAAATGCTAATGATGTAAAAATCTTACGAAATCAACACCAATGGTACTGATATAGCTATCCAGGTAGGAATCATCCTGCGGGACACAAAAACGATTCGGAGTTAACAGGCAAAAAGAAGTAACTTTGGACAAAGCAGCCGGGTTGGTGTTGCATATTTTTCGAGCAACAAAGCTCGAGTGATTAAGTCAGGCTCAAGCATAAGACAAGAAAGATAGCATTCGCAACTACTTACAGCAAATCTCAGAAGCAGGCATGATTTCCCTACACCAGAATCAACGATGAGCAAAAGCTAGACCAACT